TTTGTGTGGATTTTGTTTGGATTGGGCCCCGTGTGATAACATCCTTAGAATCATACAAGTCATTATATTCCCTATTATTACTATGTATGGATGTGAGAGCTGGACAGTTAAGAAAGATGATAGAAATAAAATTAATTCATTTGAGATGCGGTGCTGGAGAAGAGTGCTGAGGATCCCATGGATAGCCAAAAGGACAAACAAGTGGGTCCTAGAGCAGATCAAGCCGGAAACCTCCCTGGAAGCCAACATGACCAAACTGAGACTGTTGTACTTCAGACACATCATGAGAAGAGAGCACTCATTGGAAAAGACAATAATGCTGGGAAAGGTGGAGGAAAATAATAATAATAATAATAATAATAATAATAATAATAATAATGTATTTATATCCTGCCCATCTGCAAATGCAATCAAGGTGGCTTACAAAGATAAAACACCAAAATTATACAATCCCAAAACCCACCCACCCCTTAAAATAGTTTTAAACAACAAAAGTTAAAACAACAACAAACAATAAAACATAAAATAGGAAGAGAGGAAGGCCACATACTAGATGGATGGACTCTATTAAGAAAGTCAGGGATATTAAGGGGTTGCAGGAATTAAGCAGAGCAGTGGAGGACAGAGGGTCTTGGAGATGTTTCATCCATAGGGTCACCATGAGTTGAGATTGACTCAAGTGCAGTTAACAACAACAACAACATATCTTCTCATGATGTGGCCAAAGTATGACAACCTCAATACAGTCATCGTGGCCTCTAGGCAGAGTTCAGACTTGATCTTTTATATGACCCATTTGATTGTCTTTTTGGCTGTCCATGGTATCCTCAGCACTCTTCTCCAGCATCACATCTCAAATGAGTTGAACTAGAATTTTAATAGTAATACAACACATCTAACCATAGCAGGACCCCTCAAACAGGTGACTTGTGTTTCTTCCTAGTCTGCTGTCCAGACATTTCAACCAGATTTTATCTGGACATACCTTCAAACATATGCTTTTACCATTGTTACATATAGTTTTATGCCCCTCTCAGGGGAAAAAAAAGTATTTTAGGGTTATTTTCTATTCTGATTTTTTGTTTTTCCTAAAGGGGCTCAGTGGTGTTGCATCCAGCTATTTTCTTTTCGCAAGTACATCATCTTTAAAGGGATATTTGAAAGGATGTCATACTGAGGATGGAGCAAGTTTGTTTTCTCCTGCTCCACAGACTAGGGTACAGAGCAATGGATTCAAACTACAGGAAAAGAGTTTCTATTATTAGGACAGAATATGGAGAGATGGAATGATTTCCAGTCGGTAAGAGAGTTTCATTTTATCACCCTGTCTAACTTGCATATCCTATGTAAATCAGATTAGACTTGGAGGAAGGAGGCATGAACACTGGAGGAAGGCACATCAATAATTTAAGATATGCAGATGATACCATACTATTAGCAGAAAATAGCAGACTTGGAATGATTACAGAAGAAAGTAAAGGCAGAAAGTGCAAAGGTAGGTTTACAGTTGAACATTAAGAAAACAAAAATAATGACCACAGTTGATTTACATAACTTTAAAGTAGATTATGATAACATTGAAATAGTTAAAGATTTTCTAAACCTTGGCTCAGTCATGAGAATGGAGAATGGAGACCTCAGTCAAGAAATCAGAAGATGACTAGGTCTTGGAAGGGCAGGTATGAAGAAATTAACAAGATCCTGACATGCAAAGATATATAATTTAATAATAATAATAATAATAATAATAATAATAATAATAATAATAATAAAATTTATTTATATACCGCCCGGTGGCGAACCAATCTAGGCGGTTTACAAAGCTAAAAGTACATAACATAGTAACAAACTACCTCCCCCCTTAAAAATCAATTAAACTGGATATCAATTAAAACAATAATTATATCAAACATAACAATAACAAAACAATTAACTAAAACCAGCAATCCATACAGCTTAATGATCACAGGGGCAGTAGAACGATCTTAAAAAGGGAAATCCCAGGTCCCAGAATCCCAAGGTCCCAAAATCCCAAGGCTGGGTAATTTAATCTGGAAAGGCCTTCCGGAAGAGATCCATCTTAACAGCTCTCTTGAAACTGTCTAAAGATGTCAACTGACGGATCT